ACTTAAAGCTACAATATGTAACATTTCTACATTAAAATGTCTATAAACAATAGATGCTATGCTATGTGTTGTTGAGTTGTGTACTTATATTATCCAAACTGTTTCCAACGATGCTCAAACCCAGAGAAATCTGGAATTGTATTCCATGTAACTAGTTGCTGTAACTTCTGGGCAAACACTGGATACATCCGTCACAATGTGAGGAAGGGAACATGACTAAACGTAACTTGAATAAAACTCTACTACATTAGCTCGTCCGTGAACAATTGCTGCCTGATTCACATCAGACAGATATTCATCAGAAATGGGGGTTGTTTAACAATGAAGACAACAACTCCCATGATCCCAAGTTACTTCACAATGTATTTTATTATTGTTTTAATGGTATGTGAGAGAATTTGGGTTGGGTTTGAGTTGAGTTTAGGGATCTGGTCGGGTTTAGTTATCCTTAATGTCAAAAGTATAGGCTTCGGGTTGGATTTTGGGTCTTAAACTTGGTAGTATCAGTCAGGTTCAGTAGTGAGGAGTCGTTACGATGTGGATCCAGGCTGGGTTCAGGTCCAGGATTTTCTACGCTTGCCAAACTCTAGCTCACCAAAATCTGTATGGAGTGAGGAAATAATCCTGAGACCCAGCATCCATTTCCACAGGCCAAAGATGGTTCGTCACAAAGCAGTTAATTTTGTAGCATTCCATCCCCATTTAGAAGTGGATAGGTGCTTTATGAAAGTGATGAGAGCCACTTAGACCAATGTGTCGCTGCTGGTGATGCTGATAATAGAGATAGACAGATGATAGAGATTATGTTGGACATTCCTCATCATCTTTCTTTGTGAATCACTGGGAATTGTACAAACCACAGGGCTGTGAGGTTTTAATGTATGTTATATTGATCCCAGCTGTCTTCCTCTGAAGAACTGGTCGTGAGGATATCACCAAAAAGTCAGCAGGTTCACACCGCTAGGGTTCAACTGTGCGCAAACAGGCAGAAAACAGCCTGAGAAACAGTATTGATCAGATTTCTCCTTATGTGGCTGGCGGCTGTAATCTGAGACAGAATTAACAGGCTATTCTACGATCATCCATCCCTATTAGTCACTGATAATTATCCTTGAGGTGAAGGGGCTCAGTGCTGTCAGTGTGTCTCAGCTAAGGAGACACAAACCCAGTTCATAATCTAATCTAATGTACCGTTCTCTGCTTCTGTGATTAATAAAAGATAACGTGTAATTATATTTTTCTGGAATTGGAAGAATGCAGACCGGCCTGCAGATCGATTATACTGCTGGATTTTCTCTCAGGGTGTGTTCATGCCAAGCCGGTTCTGAGAGGTTTATTTAAACTCGAGTGCACCACTCCTGTGGTTCGACCGGGTAAACAATGTCAAACGCAGGTGGCACTGAGCAATCACAGTGAGACGCCTGTAAATACAGATCTCAGGTTATTATGCTCAAAGAAAGAAGATTAGTACTTCGGCTTTTTTAGGAGAACATTATCTGAACTGAGGGCTGCCTTTTTATCCAGGAATCCCATGGGGTCTAGAAGGATTTTGATAAGATGCGTTGTTAGGATTGGGATGGATCAGACGAATCAGATTGCAGTCTCAAGAAATTTGTGCTGTGATTTTTTTCTTTTTAAGAGAATATTATCTATACGAGGCTCACATTTGATCAGGTATCTCACTGGATTCCATGGGATTCTGGTTGGACAGCAGTTACATTGTCAGGATCGTTCTCTAGCTGGGTTCACAGACTCCAGGATCACAGCTCAACTTTGTTCATCTGAGACAATACAAGTAGTGACACATATTGTTGTACAAACTGCAGCATCATATTGAAACAGTAACATTACATCCTTTTTGTGGCTAAGGCTAATGTAACTGCATATTGTGGCATATTCAGCTTATACAATACATAGCTTTATAATGTTTGTTTTTTCTCCATAATATTTTTATTTAACACCTTGAAATACAGCCTTATACATTCACATAATCAATACAACATAAGATCGCTGCATTTAAGAAAAGAAAAGCAAACAAACCCAAAAAACAAACAGAAATCCTCAACAAAAGAACGCTCCTCCTGTTTTAACAAATGGGAATCTACTCCAAATGGACTATATTATTGCAATAGAGGCAAAATCAAAGAAATATTTGGAAGAAAAAACTAAATTCTACAAGGTAGGGCACTGAAATGTCCACAGAGATTAGTCATCCACCTGATCGTAAATCCTTGACGTAATTAATGAATGGATACCATACACTCTCAAATACATGCTGTTGAGCCTTTTTATAATCAATATTTACTCTGGACCACATACGTGGAATAACAGTGACAGGATCGGAATGGGACTGGGAGAAGAGAAAGACAGGAAGGGGTCACAGGAAAATGTTAATCAGAACTGGAAATGATACAAGTTCTCTTTAGTGTCCCCCTCTAAACTGAACCCAGTAAAAGGAAACAATCCTATATTCCCCAAACTTAGAGGATGATCAATCACCAAAACAGATTGCCAAAGTTATTAAAAAGTCACCGTAACCTTTGTTTACCGTGTCCGGATCACTTATAATTACACACCAAATTGCATCAAGATGAGCTTTTCTACTCTGCTTCAGTCAAGCACTGTACTGTATAGATAAACGACTGTGCAACCACCAGTGTAAAGTGTATGTTTTCAGACACTCCCTCTATACAGGCGGATGCACATATGTCTTCTAAATTAAATTCTAGCTGGACAGTTATAGTGAAATCCAACGGGATCTCTCTCTGAGCACAAACACACCCACACAAACACGTTTACTTTCAGTATTAGAAATGTCGTGTCTTATCTGTTGTGCCTGTGCA